CTTTCTTCCTTCCTTCCTTCCTTCCTTCCTTCCTTCCTTCCTTCCTTCCTTCCTTCCTTCCTTCCTTTGTTTTTTGAGACTGGGTTTCTCTGCGTAGCTTTGCGCCTTTCCTGGAATTCACTCTGTAGCTCAGGCTGGCCTCAAACTCACAGAGATCTACCTGCCTCTGCCTCCCAAGTGCTGGGATTAAAGGCAAGCACCACCACCTCCCAGCTTTTTTTTTTTAATTTAATTTAATTTTATGTGTTTTGGTGTTTTGTCACAGGTGTCAGGTCCCCTGGAACTGGAGTTACAGACAGTTGTGAGCTGCCATGTGTGAGCTGGGAATTGAACCTGGGTCCTCTGGAAGAACAGTTGGTGCTTTAAACCACTGAGACATCTCTCCAGCCCCAGGGTCCTCCTTTTTACCTAGCTTCTCTGGGGTTGTAGATTGTATCCTGATTATCCTCTGCTTTGCATCTAATATCCACATATGAGTGAGCACATACCATGCTTATCTTTCTGGGTCTGGGTTACCTCATTCAGGATGATTTTTTTCTAGTTCCATCCATTTGCCTACAGATTTCATGATTTTTTTTTAAACCACTGAGTAATACTCCATTGTGTAAATGTATCACATTTTCTTTATCTATTCTTTGGTTGAGTGGTGTCTAGGTTGTTTCTAAGTTCTGGTTATTTTGAATAATGCTGCTATAAGCATAGCTGAGCAACTGTCCTTGTGGTGTGATTGAGCATCTTTTGGGTATATGCTCAAGAGTGGTATAGCTGGGTCTTGAGGTAGATTAATTCCCAATTTTCTGATAAACCACCATACTGATTTTCAGAGTAGCTGTACAAGTTTGCACTCCCACCAACAGTGGAGGAATGCTCCCCTTACTCTAAATCCTCTCCAACATAAGCTGTCATCACTGTTTTTGATCTTTGCTGCTCCTATCTTAAAATGTTTTCCTACACCTCTTAACCTCCACACTTGTTCCTCAGTCCTTACCACCTGACCTCCCTTCTCACTGTTCAATCTTTATCTCTAATGACTCTTGATACACAGTCACCGTTGGGAAATTGTTGTTGACTTGAAAGGGAATTTTATTATCTCTTTCACCATTCAATGCAGTGATATGCTTCTGTGAGTATTGGCTTCTTTGTATGATGCTTGTAACAATTTTTTTTTTTAATTTTGCCTTCATGGAGAATGGAACTTCAGTAAGTAGATCACATCTGACATTTAATCCTGTGTTCTGTAAACCAAGATCTTTGTTTTCCAGGTTAGGAAAGTCAGAACCAGACAAGTGAAGCACTTGTACAAGGTCATTCCGAATAGAAAGTTGACGAGGTATCCAGACACACAGGCTGGGCTCTTCCAGCTATGAAGTGCTCTTTCCCTGATAAGGGTCAGATGCAGCTGCCCTGATTGACAATTACCTTTCCTGGGTCAAATCTGAGCAAGGTCCTTTGTAAGCCCTGTGTCACAAAAGAGGAGACTGCGTACTGCCAACAGGCTGAAATTAAACTGGAAGGAACATGACACAACTATTTAAAAATGTTTAATTCCAGAAAACTCAGTGGATCAAAGTAATTATGGAACAATAAAAGGTGAGCTGAAGCCTCAGGTGGGTCTCAGCAGAGATAAGACTAGACTCCTTAGCGCGGACACTGTTCTTCCTGCAAAATATTTTCAGGTTTTGTTTTCTATTGTGTAAGTTTTATTAAACTGGCTGGGTTGCACACAAAACCATGGTAATACAATGTGGATACAATTTATTCATGAGCACATCTTTCCTTATATGAGGAAAAATATCTATTTAAATAACAGAAACGTATGTTTACACAATTATCCTTACAGCATACTTAGGGAGTGGAATTTTATTTCCATTGATATTTATTTGTAAGTTTGTACTTGAATAACTTCACATTTGTCTCTTGAAATAACATACCCAATGCAAAATATATAAAGAAAAATTCATTTGTTAAGAGATTTTTGTATGTCTGGAGATCACTACAACATGAGGAACTGTATTAAAGGGTTGCAGCATTAAGAAGGTTGAGAACCACTGCACAAGCAAATCTGGATGGATTGAAGAACACTGCAACTCTCCCTTGAGAAATCAGAGTAATTTCAAAAGACAATTCCTCAATCTCTTACTCAGCCAGCCTACAACATTCTGAGCCAAACCAAGATTCAAATGGAGAGAATAATATCTTCTATAACTTCATCTTAACTGCTTGAGCTTGTCATTAAATTTTAGAAAGCTATTTTGTGTAACATGAATCTTTTTTTTTTTTTGAAAAAAAAAACAACAAAAGATTTTATTTTTAATTGTGTGTATGTGTATGGTGGGGAGTGGACATCCGTATGAGTGCAGGTGACCACAGAGGCCTGAAGATGCCAGACTTCCTAGAGCTGGAGTTAGGGGCGTTTAGTTGTCAGCCCCCTAATGTGAGTGCTTCTATTTGAACTGGGATCTTCTGAAAGAGCAATATATGCTCTTAACTGTTGATGCTCTGGCCCTGAAGCATCTCATTTTATAACTAAGATCTTCAAATATAGTTGTTCAAAGACTTCTTTATTAAAAAGAAAACTTACCATGAGAGATCTTAACTCTCAAGATCTCTGTAATAAGTAAAATTAAGCCTCACTAATTTAGAAAAGATGGTCCTACTACTATTGTTGATTATTCCCAGTTTCCCTATTTACCTGTTAAAATCAACTAGACTTGAACCATGAGCTTCTCCTAGGCGATTCATGGGCATCTTTCTATTTTACATAA